CACCGCCAACTCTTGGGCTACTCTTTTACCAACGAATAGTGGGATTGACCGTCACATTATAACGCCCCCACGGCTGAAAAGGGGGAGCATGTTTGGTGTGACGGGGATTCGAACCCGCGACCCTCTGATTGCGAGTCGAGCGCTCTAACCACCTGGCCATGCCGGGCCAAAAACTGGATGAAATGAATGAACTGGATTCCCAGTTTGAAGAAATGTTCACCTATCGAAAACGTTCGGGTTATAGGATTTTATTAATTTCTGCGCCAGTGTCGTCACACGACGACCTAAACTAATAAAAAAAAACTGTTTGGATGTTGATTTCTATTTATTCATGTTGCAGACTTCATAATAAATGATATATAAGGGTAATTTATTGAATCGAGGACATTTTTTCCTCCTGGGGACAACATTCCCTTTCCAGATACTTTTCCTGGAAATCAGGGACGTATGGTCGGTCACCCTAACTTTACTGATAACACTCTAGCATAGCAATCAACAAAAACTCGAGTTCCGCCCCTATCGCCACAAAACGTCATTAGGACTTCCCTAAAGACGGCAACAAATTTACAGAAGAAGCAAAACAAATAAACTAATTAGTATAAATAGCAATAAATGAAATTAAAAATTAAACATAGGTGATTGTACAGGCTAGTGGCCATGACAACGTTGTATAGGCCACTACTAGCCATGACATCGATCGATATCAGATCGCCAAAATCTTACCCCAAGTATATGCACGTGCGAATTTATTTATTGACATAAGTGATAATTTATCGTCTTTTCTAAAGAATCATTACAGATACCTTGGACATAATTGTGCAACGTTCAACCCCCCCCCCCCTTCTTTCTTATCACAGAACACGCAAGGTAAGTAATGTCCATATGGCATAGCTTCCTTTCAACCCCTTTCATCTGTAAAGAGTTCACTGAGTAAATCCCGGGATATTTGAATTACTAGAAGTGTTATAGGAGAGCTATTATACCTTCCAGATCCCAATGAAAGGATCTAAAGCCTGATCCAGATCGCAGGGCTATGGTCTATGGCAGTTATTTTTTGGTGTAAAGTTAATAGTTTAGAGCAAATGGGGGGTCGAAGATTAGCAATCCTCCTTCACCTTGCTCGAGGTTAAAGAGTTCGATGAGAGGTCGTCGTTGTAATGGGCCAAGTGGACGAAAAAAATAAATAAAATAAAAAATGCAGGGTTACTATTAGGAAGAAGAGGTATAAATAGCACCTGACCCTCCCAGGCCGTGCACAGCCCGAGACGAGCTACTATTGGCTCTTGGTAGGATGATATATAAACAATTGTAGACGGCTTAACTGGGTAACGAAAAAATCTTTATTGTAAATGTACGACGTTTCGACATGATTATGTCATCCTCAGGTACAAGTATTTTTCAGAGACACATGAATATATATAAAAGCATAGAACAAAGTGGGTTCCTCGTCATCAAATTCAAATATCTATCTATCTATATGTATATATGTATGTGAGGGATTCAATTTAAATGTTATTTCTTTTCAGAGATAAAACAAAAAATCAATGATATATATATCAAACCCATTTAAACGTATTTTTCTAAATCATTTCCTTACTACTGAAACATAAAATTGAAACCAATTTAAATGCATTTTTTATACATTTTTTAAGCATTATATTGTTTTTGGGTACAGGGTCTCTAATTGTACATGAAACACAATAAACAAATGACATTAACATTGAAATGAACTCCATCAGTTACTGCAGGAGTCCTCTACGTATTTTACATAAACAATTTAGTGATTTCTACCTTTTTTTTTGAGGAACTTAGTTCTTTTCACCGAGTGTTATAACTAAAATTATACAGTTTGGCGCAAAATCAGCGTTAAGGAAACAAGTCAGTAGTTTCAGGGTTTATCTTATTATCACACTAGAAGAATTATTGGCGCTAGTTTTCAGTCGCAAGATGCAGTGTCGTAAATGAAGCAGCTACTGAATTCGCACTTTTACAGATATTCTAGAACATTTCTTTATTCAGATAAATTTCCATGCAGTTTTTGAATGTAGTTGATTACATCCATATTGACGGGATGACTCAAGGTCGTACACATATTGCAACATCAAGACAACATGTCAAGCACTTGTCTGTATGAATCTTCTACGAAGTTAGCCTGTTTCAACAGGCGATTCAGAAACCTACACAAGTTGGTTTAGATTATTGGTGTATACATGAGGTTGGAGTATGTAATCTAATTACTTGTGGGATCCACATTAAGGCTTTTATCTTACTATAAAAGTGGGATATTTACACAAGTTTAATAATGGCTGGAGACGGCTTGAATGGGTAATGAAGAAAAACTTTAATATAAGTTTAACATAACAGCAAATGTACAACGTTATATTAAAGTTTTTCTTCATTACTCATTCAAGCCATCTCCAGCCATTATTAGTCTCAAAGTAGGTTCCTCGTCACCGAATTTACACAAGTTTGTCTCTTGTTCTTGGCCTCTTTTGTCTTGATCTTAGAAAGCTTCCTCTTCACCCCAGTAGCCGGTTGAAGTCACAACAGAAAGACAGAAACAATTATTTTGGTGACGAACCCACGTATTATTATGAATAAATATTTGTTTCGTTTGTTCACTTGTGTTGTTGTTGTTTTTTTTTCCTGTGACTGTTCAATGCATTCTAGGCTTAACAGTTTTAAATCAGCGTTTTGAGGATACTTTACTGTTGAACACCAATATACATGGACATCACAGCAAACAAGGCAGTTCAATTACTACAGCATGTTTCAAAATTATTCAATTTTATGAAAATAACTGTTAATGAAATACAATGTTTTTTTGAGGTAGCAAACACTTTTTATCAAATGTGTATTTACTAAAAATTAAGATTGAACTGTCAATTAGGCATAGTAAACTTTTAAACTGTATTTTTATGTCACTTCCATACAGTAAAACACATATGATTTTTGTACGTTTGGAAGTGACGTAAAGATTATTAAACCAAACATTATTTTTAAGTTCCTTTTTATGTGTCATACTAATCTTATTCACGAGTCAATTTGTAGTATCTGTTAGTGAAAATACAAAATGAGTTTTGAGCATAAAACATGAAAATCGATGAAAATTCTTAACTAAATAATCCACTAAATCAAGGCTGAGATTCTTAAAAAGCAACTAGTGATTATTTAAAAAATACACATACAACTTGCCAAATGTTTTCTTGTAAAATTTATATATTAGATCCACGTTATAAAATTTATTTTCTTTTCCCAAGCGCTTTTTTTTTTGGTTACCCAAAACGAAAAGATACAACCTGATAGAGGAGTCATAGAAAGAACACAAGTTCGTTCGTTTCTAGCAGTTATTTAGATTTAAAAATAATTATTCCCGAGGAAATAATTACTAATCCAGGGTGCTCGAAGATTAAACAATCCTCCTTCACCCCGCGCGTGGCCTAGGAATATAGGCTTAACTTGAGAAAACAGGAAATTAATGCAGACAGGTATGTAAATTTAAAAAGGTAAACGTGAGAGTAACGGTAAACAATAAAAAGTAAAGAGCAAAGTAAACTAAACTAAACGGCCGATATCGGACAGATGGTCCATCAGGGCGGCGGGGATATAAAAATCCTCTGCCAAGAATATAATGTGGGGGAAACGAGAGTACCCCGAGAAAACCCACTTTATGAATAGGCGGCTAAACAATAATTTAATAATAGTTTCATATTTTATTTTTATTCACATCAATTATAGTTTCTTACTCACAATTTTGTAAAATACAAACTGCTTAACAACTCTTTTCCCTTTTGGTGGCTATTATAACTTTACTAAAACTGATTCATATTTTGTTTTTCAATAATAAAAAAATTAGTCGTAGCTACGTTATGTAGTAAGGCTATAATAAAAGTTGGTATCGTAACTTTCTTAAATAAATGGCGTTAATAAACGACCTCTCCAAGGAGATTGGTTGCTAACTTCTTGCCTGGTTAGAAAATTTTATGAAATAGCCTTACGACAGAAAATTAACTAAGGGATGAACTGTTATGTATTTGCACCGTGTAATTATATATTTTGTGTTATATAATTAATATAAAATTAGCTGATATTTCATACAGCGGTATGATTATCTTCAAAAATAGTTAGGGTTGTCAAGTATGCTTTTTTTCTCCAATGGTGCTTGGTATACAGCCTAAGTATTTTAGCAACCATAATATGACTCCTACCTATATGATCTGTGCGTGTTCTAAAGGTTAACACGCAGGATCCATGGGTTCACGTCCTATTGTAGCAAAATTACTCTTCACACTTTGGGGCCGTGGGTTCCAATTTAGAAAGAGTAGCCCCAAAGTTAGCAGGGTGCTGCTGATCAGCTGCCTTCTCCCTAGTCTATCAGTTCAAATTTAGGGATGGCTAGCGCGTATAGCTTTCGTGTAACTTCGCGCGAATATCTGAAACAAACCTATTCGTTTTTGTTGGTGATGCTGCTGTATACATGAGCTCGGTCGATTCCGAGTCATTCAATTAGAGTACTATAATGAGAAACTTAACTTTGTACAAGATAAAAGTTCCAATTAACTTAAGTCAGTATTAAATACAATGCATAACTTAAGCACGTTTATTTGATGTAGTATACGCGACAAAATTTTTAAAGTAAAACTCAGTATTAGTTATGCAAATTACTATATTTTTGTTTTGTTTGTTTGTTGTTAAGCGCAAAACTACAAAACCATGGACTATATGTGCTGCGTCCAACACAGATAATGAACCCCGATTTTTAACATTACAAGCAACTGCGGGCGATTAGTATATTAAAAGCAGTTAAAAATTCTAGAGCAATTGGTATTTCCTCCTCTTAAAAATTACACTTATATTTTTGTCCACAGTAATAATGCTGCTGTAAACGTGAACTAGTGTCGAATGTGCCGAGATTGAATAAACTAGTTATAGCTTCGAGCAATAGATGCCGCTTTCAAACATCAAGCTCGTTTTGTTTAGCGAGAGAAACAGCTAACGTCGTCAGTGCAGAACGTTGGTTTGGAGGAGAAGGAAATTTGTTGTTACGAGTTTGTTAACATTTCGATGGTGGTTGTGTGACAGGTGTAAGGAATGTTTTCGGTATTGAGCAAGAAATTGGTAAGTTTTATTCTGTTACTTTCGATAACTTAGCACATAGGTTATTTTTTTCGAGAAAAAATAATTGATAATTTGAGTTATAGAAGCCTAAAAGTAAAAATTCCAATAGTTTGAGTATAACTATAAGTTATAACATTGCAACAATAACAACAGTAATAACTATGTTGTTAGTACTTATAGTAACATAGTCTAAGGCTCAGAATATTAGGCTATTGTCAACATAATGTTACGCCAGTGGTTTGTTTTTACTTAGTTTTATGGTAGTTTCAAATCACAGTGATTTCGGTTGTTGACCCCATCATTTTACCGTACGTAATACTTGTTACTCATATCTTCCTTTATTAAGTTAAGTTTCTCACTTTATCATTATGGGTTATAAATCTATAAGTTTTATCAGACAGTTTGAATTTTTTTTTCAGCAGACATATTTTTTTCATCAAGATTAATTATTGTATAAAGCTATAAGTTGTATTACTTATAACTATAATATATTGATAAAGAAAACTTGCTTATCGTCACTTGACACTAGTATTACTACTAGGCCTACCATCAGTGCTAAGTTAAACAAACTTTCAAGTTACAAAGAACTTGGATCTTTTCTCTTTATTTATTATTGTTATTGCTACTTTACTTAAGATAATTTCATGTTTTTATTACCTGATTCTAAATTAAGAAATTTAATTTTATATTTACAAAAATTAAAATTTAGTAGAAATTTGAAATGACTGTAGGACTCTGACCACTGTGCTTAAGGTTAAATCATTATTATGTTCTTATAGTGTTATGTTAATATGCAGAAGTGTTGAATAAGTAGACAGTATTTTTAAGAAATGGGCCTAGACAGTGGAAGGAGGAAATATAAAGGTTTTAGTTTGTAATAGATTTAAGGAGAGGTATTTTTCTACATCTCAAACTTTTATGAGTTAATGGTGAATAAATCAATTTGATTAGTTGTGTATACTTTAAACATATAGGAAAAATATTTTAATATACAGATTTTTAAGTCATCCTAAATTCTTTGCTTTTTCTACAAATCTTTGCATATGTATATACCAAAATAACTAAATATTGAAATTGGCTTGCTGTTCCTAACCAAAAAATGTTTGCTAGCCTGCATTTCCAAGATTGAATAGTTCTAATTTGTTTATTGTATGGATTTTTTATTATTTAGGAAAATCTGTACACATTATTCTAAGTTAGGACTTAGTAGTGAAATGTATAGAGATAATTAATACAGATGGGAGCCCACTCAACAGCACCGAAGAAAAGGACCCTGGAATAATCGTTGATAAGTCACTCAAGCCCTTTAAGCAATGCTCTGTTTCTAGTACTTAGTTTAACAAGTACAATTATAGGATTTACTTATAGACATTTTTTTATATTCCACTTGATGTTGGGATGTTCTCAGAGAGCAAATAGAGTTATGAATATTCTTGAGATATTTCAACATTGCACAGAACAATCACAAAAGGTAATTATCTCTCTATATTACAAATTATTACTCAGGCCAAATGGACCTTTGATGTCCATGTGTTGTGCTATGGTCAACACACTTCCTGTCAATTTTAAAATAATTAATACGTTATGACTCCTCAGGAATTCCTGCAACATGTTTAGTTGGAATTTGGAATAGGTTGATTAGGACTGATTGTCATACAAGTACATAAAAAAACTTAAATCTTGCAGTATTTATAAAAAAAAATGTATGAAGTCGGGTCATTTGACCATCACATTTGTAATAGAAACAGCTTGTTTCAATATCCAAGTATCATCAATACATTGGAAGTTTCTGTTCAAGAAGTTACTTAACTATTTAATAATAAAATTACAAAGGTTCAGAAACAAGACTTCAGAGGGACCCTACTTTTGAATTTCCTTCAGAAAAAAAATATGCCCATTTAATATCGCTAGTTTATGAAGTGATCTCAGTTAAACAGTTTTATTGGTTCATTGTTTTGAACTGGTTATTGAGTATAAAATATAAAGGCTCTCTGTAACCTTGTTTATCTTTCTTAGTGATCTAGCATGACTTACCTTGAATTTTTTTAATCTGAAAGTCATTATTATGACCTTATAGTGATATCTGGTGCTCAAACTATATTAATGACATGATTGTACTGTTGTTATGAGTGTTCCTGTATTGTTGTTAGAAGTATTCCTGTATTGTTGTTAGAGGTATTCCTGTACTGTTGTTATGAGTGTTCCTGTATTGTTGTTAGAAGTATTCCTGTACTGTTGTTATGAGTGTTCCTGTATTGTTGTTATGAGTGTTCCTGTATTGTTGTTGGAAGCATTTTAGTACTGTTGTTATGAGCATTTCTGTATTGTTCCACAGATTGTGTGCTTTAAGTATTCTCACTATTTCTATAAGTATTATCATAGCAATTTTTGTTTTGAAATGTATTGGTAACTTGTAGCAAAACATTAAAATGTATAGAAGTAAAATATATTCTGTTTTATCCACGTGTTATAGAGTTCCTGTATTGTTGTTATGAGTGTTCCTGTATTGTTGTTATGAGTGTTCCTACTTCTAACAACAATACACTGAAATACTTTATAAATTTTTAGTCTCCTCATTTAGTTTTAATTGGATTTTCCCTCATTTTTAACACATCTTTGAAAAGCAGTGTCTACTGATTTTATTAAAACAACTTTTATTTTATAGTTAAATGACTATTTATTATGCATATATAATTCTAAGTGTGTTTGGCAGAATTAACTTTTCATTAAATAACTAATAAATGTCTGTTTTATCCTATAAATCTCTAAATTTATACTCTTTATGGCCTTAGTGTTTTTATTTTAAGTTGCTTGAAGAAACTTATTTGTTTGACCTAGTTTTGAAACTTGTTGAATGTACTTGTGTTATTATAATATAGGTGTAAAACTATTTGGAATTCCAGCACACTTGCAAGTCACCTAGGGATGATAAATGTAACTATAGGTGTATTCTCTCTCCACCCTATCCAGAAAACTAGTATGTAACTAATTTCCTCCTTAAGTAGAGTGAAGTTTGTAAAAACAGGTTTCTAAATACAGTGACCTTCAGGGCATTGAATTATACTGATGTCTGTTAAGTAGGACACTAAACAAGAGGAATATTTACTGGTCATTATGGATGAGCTTTTAAGTTCTTTGGTCAGCCAGTGATAATTTTCTATGCATTAAATTGGTTGTATTTTTTTTCTGTTACGTAAATTGTGAGAAAAGTTTTTGAAAGTCTGATAAAAGATGCTTTGAAAAGCTATTTAACGAAGTTTAGAATTTTATTTGATAGTCAGCAAGGTTTGACTAAGAGAAAATCTTGCTTTACATATCTTTTGACATTCTTTGAAAATGGTGTAGATTTGGTATATCTGGATTTTCAGAAAGTTTTTTGACAACGTGCCACGTAAAAGGCTTGTGAAAAAATTTATCTCTGTAGATGTAGGGGATAAGTTAGCAAATTGGATAGAAGAGTGGCTTGATGGAAGAAAGCAGAGGGTTGTTACAAATGGAGTTCAGTCAAAGTGGATTAATGTCACAAGTGGGGTACCCCAGAGCTCAGAATCAGGACCTTTACTCTTTTTTGATTTACATCAATGACATAGATGAGGAAATGTTCAATAATTTATTTAAATTTGCAAATGATATTAAGGTGCTGGCTGTGAAGAGGATGCTGCTGATTTACAGAAGGATTTAGATCATTTAGTGAGTTGGGCAAATAAATGGTAGATTTAAAGATAGCTTTGATATTCGGAAACAGCTGAGTTCTTGCACAGATCTTAAATTATAACGTTTATAAATGGAAACATTGGCTCAAGTAGATACGTACATCTTGAAAG